GGCTTGTTTTACAACGTCGTTGCCAAGCGACGAAAACCCAACCCCGATAGCAAACACCGGGGGGGTGGACCGCGGGGGGGGTATTATTCTTCGGCCAAGCCGGGTGTTGTTTATTGGCATGGTATTTTGTTCGCGTTTTTTCGGCAGACTGCCGGATACCTATTATTGAGGTGCTGTGTGCGTTGGCCCGGTATTGTGTGCGANTTTATTGGCATGGTATTTTGTTCGCGTTTTTTCGGCAGACTGCCGGATACCTATTATTGAGGTGCTGTGTGCGTTGGCCCGGTATTGTGTGCGATGTTCGTGTGTAAGTATTTCCGGCGTTTTCGCCACACCCAATGCTCAGGGCGTCCTCATGTACATCGAGACAACAAGTACTTCATTCAATGTTTACATATATAGGCCGGCCGTGCCTGCATGCGACACCCCATAGCACGACGTTATCCGTGGCCAAACTCATTGTTACTGTAGGTGCCGTGCTACTGTCGTCGCTATCTGACCATTCTTGCATTTTTTTCTTCGGGAATCAGGAGAAGAGTTGTGCACTGCTAGGTGAGGGTCCCGACTCCAACAGGCACAAGCGTATGCGGTGCAACAACAGAGAGGCACCACCAACAGCAATTTCAGTTCAAACCTAGCTGACGCCATTCAAGAGTACTCCACCTATGGTTCGTATTGCAGCACAATTCTGAGTGCTATACAACCAAAAGATCAGCAGCTAACATAATCAATGCTCAGTGTTTCCGGCACTATGTCAGGGCATAAGCACGGTGCCTGTATGGGAACGCAGGTTTTCAACTTCATTCGTGCCTACCTCTCGATCCTCTGCACCAATCATGTTGAATTCTTATGCAATCTATTATCTGGCGCTCAGTCCGTCTTCCATCGAAGTTTTGTGGCGATTGATGCTGTGGTGGGCGCGTTCTCGCGCTTGGTGTCTTTGGCGGGTGCACAGCAGCGTGGTTGCGCCGCGTAGATACCATCGGCACGTTTTTTTGGGCACGGGCTGCGGGTTGCGCCGACAAGTTTGAAGCCTACAGTGGACGGAATTCGGCAAATCTTGGTTCCCTAGATAGCTATTGGAAAAGTCTACTGCTGTAAACCATTAGCCTTGGGTGGATGTACGCCGGTCGCGCTGCTCTTCTGTTTGAGCCGATATTTTTTGTCCCGCCGATTACTTGTTTTTTTTTCAGTCGTGCAGCACTGTTCTGTGTGTATTATCTATCTGGCCCTAGTGTGGAGGTCAGGCCCGGTCTTATCGACAGAATTGAAATCGAAAATCGATATCAAAATTCAGTTGAAGTCATAACCAGCCGCCCGAACTTCTTAAATTTCGACGATGGTGTCTTGTCGGAAAACTGCCAAAATCAAAGTTGAATTTGAGAAAAGACACGCGAAGAACCCACGAAAAGCAGCGAACAGCCCACAAGTCGGAGAAAGTAGTAGTGGCTGCGTGCGCCGTGCGCCGCACCGCCGCACAACCAAAAACAACAACATATTCGCCTGATTGAGAGCGTAGCATCTGATTGAGAGCGAGATTGCGCAATACGCTGTAGCCGGACTACCACTGAGAGGTGGAGCTTGTTGTGTAACTTGAATTGAAGGGCTAGCCCGTAGCTTCAAGCCGCTACCCTGGTCATCCTGTGGGAGTCTCTCGTTGTGGAGCTACAGCGGGGGGCAGAAGCTACAGCAGAGCCCACCGCCCGACGCGATACCGCCCTGAAACAGTTTGAGCAGAAATAGCCAATCTGGGCAAATCTAGCAACTTGTCTAGCTCCTCGCTGCAGCATCCGATGACGATGACACGCATATGCTCGCGAAGCTGCTGATGAGACCTTCAATTTGCACCGCTTCTTGGAATAGCCCGTCCCCTACTTGCCAAGAAATGGCAAGAGGCGTCTGGACCCGAAATTTCAATTTTTTTGGCTCTCGCTCTCAATCAGATACTTCGCTCTCAATCAGGCGAATATGTTGTTAAACATGGCTCGCGCTCCTGCCAGCCGACGCTCATGGCTGCGAGGAAAGACGAAGAAGCGCATGAAACAGCTCCTGGAGCTGTTGACGATAATGGTTCTCATGGAAGATGGCGATGAGGCTCCGCAAATCGGCGACAATTTCGTGCGCCGCGAGCGCCGTTGCTGGTACACATACGCGAAGCCGATGGTGGATGATGGCACGTTCCGCCGACGCTTTCGCATGGACTACACGTCTCTTGAGCTTATGGCGTGTGAGCGTGAGAGGTCGCACAACTTACTACGAACCCACCGATCCTGCAACGTGCGCACGACCCTGTTGCTGTTCGCAAAAGCGCTGTTGCTGTTCGATAAAGTCGACATCGAATCGATTTTTTTTTTTTTTCCTTAATACCCTACAACAAACCCATCTCTATCTATAGAAATGAGTCGAAGATAGACTAGCAATGAATCCATCGCGTGAGCGTTTTTATTGTTTCATTTTTTGGTATCGAGTTTCAGCACAGGAGGATTCAGTGGGGTCTCCATCCAAATGTTATGGTTCGGCACCCTCATCCAATCACCGGTCGCCCCTGTGGTCTAGTGGTATCCTCGCAATCCACTAGTCGCAGAGGCCATGAATTCGAATCCCCATGGGGCTAAAAATTTACGAAATTTATTTACGGGTGAAAGCGAAACATAGCTAAAAAAAGCTCTCGTGAGTACCAAACTTCGACGTTAGCACCGTTGTTGAGGGAAAGGTACGGCTGGGTGGACCCTTCTCGCGAAAAAAATAAAATTCAGCACGCACCGCAGGAGGAAGGTGGGGCATGAAAAGAAATTAAAAGAAAAAAAGCCCTACCTGGTGTTTACCCCCTCCTGTCCTGTGTGACTCTGGATGGTTGTAGTTGTACGAAAAAATACACTGAAAAGTGTAGTACTCAGCGTTACTCTCCATACGCTGAAAAGTGTAGTACACGACTTACCACGAAAATGGGGGGACTGTCGCCATAATAAATAGGACGAAAACACACAACACACACATCCGATCACAGCAGATATTGTTCTTTGGCTCTTGAAGACCAAACAAACTGAATTTCGATTTCGATTTTCGATTTCGATTCTGTCGATAAGACCGAGTCTCATCACGGATACGGAAATTCAGGGAGCACAGATACACGTAAGTACATAAAGAGTAGGATCTGAGGGAAAATGTGATAATAGGTTACTGTTCTCCGAGGGTCCCTAACTGACCCACAACGGCTGCGAAGATGGATCTTAAGAAGAATGGGAAGGCTCGCCCACTCTCCGCACCACCCTAGCTTGACTGAGTTCGCTCGGTCACGCTTGGCATTCCTCGCCACATTGCACCAAAGGAAATAGCCAACCTCCGGTGGCGGGACATAGCCACCACAACCTTCCGTGAGGTAAATTATGTCATTCCTTACGAATGCTACTGCGGTAGTACTCATGTGTGGATTGAGAGCGAGAAAGTGTTCAAGTGACCGTCCCACTGGCGTGGATCTTCGGGGTATCTCCCGACGTGTCCTTGGTAGTTGGAATCGTTCCGAGTTGCGGAAAGTCTAAGCGTCTTTACGTCGGTGAATTTCTTGCGACTGTTGCTTGATGCTTTGTGGCGCACGAGGCGCCCACTCTCTCCTGTTCCTTGCCTACGAGAGCAACCTAATAAACGACTTTGCCATCTCTTCATTCCGGTCAGCCGGATCGGCCGTGCCTATCAAGCAGCACTAGGCTTGAAACCAATCAACACTCGAGAGCGAAGGTTAACAACATACTATCCTAGTGAAGTGGACACATGCCGTCTGCGTCTGGAGAGTTCGGCAATGGCGATGCAGCCCCACATCACGAGGAGGTCAAGACCGCCATCGACCAGGCCACCGCAAAAATGGAGAGGATGATGACGGAAAAGTTAGGAACCGTCATGGAAGCCCTGCCTCGGTTAGTACCCGAGACAGCGTCCGCCGCAAGTATGGCCACAGCGGGCGGCAGGGGAGAGTCACGGGGGGGGAGGCACGCCCCTCCCGGCGCTGATCATGTGGATTAAGCGCCAAACACCGGGCAAGGACTCGAGGGATCGAGAGGACTCCTGCGGCCGGCGCAACAAGGACCCACGCCATCTGTGGGGCGGGACGTCTCGCGCGAAAGCGCTCACCGTGAGTCAGCCAACGTGGGGTGCGCTCGGCGAACAGACGTCTTCGCCCTCGACCGGCGGCGAGCAGATGTTCTTCATCGGAAAGCTTTCACCGCCCGACAGGAGGAGAGTCAGAGCGAAACAGGACACGATCGAAGAAAAAAACGGAAGGGACGAAGAGGCGTACGCGGCAAGTGATGGGGGCTGCTGTCGAGTGAATCAAGTGGGGAAAGGGAAGGCATAGGTACGCAACATGAGATAAAGTTGATGTATGGCTCAAGGATCGACGAAAACTCGTTTCGGCAGATGGAGTGACAGGCACAAGCGAATGACGAGCATAACACAAGAATGCCTTGTATTCCCTGAAAACAGCACAAGAGTAGGAGATGGGAGGATATTAAAACAAAGAGAAAACTACTCCCAGAGCGCATCTATCGGGGAATTCCGAAACTTGCAGAAATACAGCATTTGCACCGAACAATACTTCGGAACACGACAAACACGGGACGAAATAACAGGGCGTGGAGAAGCTTGCTAGCTGACGATATCGAAAGTTCACAAACTTTGGTCAAGATGACACGGCCGTCGGTATTCAAGATTTTTGGCAACATTGTCGTGAAGTTTCCTGCGTTTACCACGGGGTGGGAGGGAGGGGGTGGAGGTGGGGGTGAAGAGGCCAAACAACGGTGCCCCGGAACAACGCAGGGGGGGGGGCACTCACAGCATGCTTTATGTCACACACATGTTACCTGCTCCTTCAAACCAAACCAGCAGGACCGCTGACTCTTGACGTGCACAAAGTTGTTGACGACTCCAGCCTACATATTGCGAATAAAATCAATGNCAGGGCGTGGAGAAGCTTGCTAGCTGACGATATCGAAAGTTCACAAACTTTGGTCAAGATGACACGGCCGTCGGTATTCAAGATTTTTGGCAACATTGTCGTGAAGTTTCCTGCGTTTACCACGGGGTGGGAGGGTCGGGGTGGAGGTGGGGGTGAAGAGGCCAAACAACGGTGCCCAGGAACAAAGC